ATGGAAGTACCTACAATAAGCAGGCTGTGGATTCTGACTACATCAACCACTACACCAAGCGAGGGTTCGACAGAGGGCATTTATTTCCATGCTCTTACGCCTCTACAGTAGATGATAAGAATTCTACCTTCACCCTCACCAACATTGTTCCACAGAATGGTTTTTTCAACAAGGGAAGCTGGAACAAAATGGAGATCTGCATCAAATGTGTTCTGGATGAATATTGCATCAATAACAACAATATCAAAGAAGGCTTTTTGGTCATTGGAGCCCAGCCAGGCAACAACATAATTTCAAACAAGGTTAATGTCCCGTCCATGCTCTGGTCTGCGTTCTGCTGCTACAGTCACAGTGAAAACAGGTGGCTAGCAAGTGCCCACTGGGGCCCAAACATCGATGGTAGAGAATATCTGCAGACCAAGACCTTGGCAGAGCTCCATAGTGAACTGAGCACAGGATTTGAAGTGTTTCCTCAATCACAATGTCCTCTCCACACAACTGTCACTGAGTTTTACCCAAAACTAAATGCTGGAAAAAAACAATGCCAATGCCCACCACCCATTCTGACTACTTCTGCCGCTCCAAATCTACGGCCCCTAGTACCGCATCTGGACCTCTTAATACCTCATCTGCACCTCTTAGTACCACATCTGGCCTACTTTTTAGCACCTCTGATCCTTACAGCACAACATTTGCTGATCTAACTACTACATCTGGCCCACTGAGTTCTTCATCTGTTCCACTTTCTACGACATCTGGCCCACTGAGTTCTTCATCTGTTCCACTTTCTACTACATCTGGCCCACTGAGTTCTTCATCTGTTCCACTTTCTACTACATCTGCCCGATTCACTACCACATCTGCCCCTCTTTCTACCACATCTATGCCTATCACCACTACATCTAGACCATATTCTACCACATCTACGCCTCTCAGTACAACATCTGCCCCTACAACCACAACAACTAGCTCCACTGCTTTGACAACCAGTCCCTACTCAACTACTGCTGTTACCATCTTGAGCACCACTATACCTACAACGACAGAAACTCCTACTACCACAAACATCTGTTGACCAAAGTCCCTACAACAACCACAGAAACAACTGCTTCAACAATTACTTCCACTGTTACAACTACAACAACAACCACAGTCCCCACAACAACCACCAAAACTACAACAACAACAACTACCACTACAACAACAACAACTACCACTACAACAACACAAGGAGGAGGTGGAGGAGGAGGCGGAGGAGGAGGAGAGGAGGAGGAGGAGGAGGAGGAGGAGGAGGAGGAGGGGGCGGAGACATTACATTTGTTCCAACCACTACTATCGCTGCTACCACGACCACCGTTCATGCCTAACCTCAACCCAACAATCAACTACCCAACAAAACAAACAACAATCATCTACCCAACAATCATACCCAACAATCAACGACCCAACAATCAACGACCCAACAATCATCTACCCAACAATCAATACCCAACAATCAACTACCCATCAATCAACAAACGTAGCATAAGCTGCGACTACCCTGGCAAAAAGTTCCCAAATTGGATCAAGGACAGCGACTATCTCTCGATCTATAGAGAGCTAGCGAGCGAGCGAGCGAGCGAGCGATCGAGAGCAGCGAGCCAGCGAGCCAGCGAGCGAGCGGAGCGAGCCAGCGAGCCAGCGAGCCAGCGAGCCACGAGCCAGCGAGCGAGCGAGCGAGCGCGAGCGAGCGATCGAGCGAGCGAGCTATCGAGCGAGCGAGCGAGGAGCGATCGAGCGATCGATCTAGCCAGCGAGTCCAGCGAGCCATCTACCATTCCAGCTATCGACTATCATCTATCTATCTATCTATCTATCTATCTATCTATCTATCTATCTATCTATCTATCTATCTATCTATCTATCTATCTATCTATCTATCTATCTATTTATCTATCTATCTATCTACTGAGCCATTAACTTCTCCAACGCCTCAGAGCAGTTCGACTGTTGTTCCTTCCAGCGACAACGTTACTCTTTCAAATCCCACATTCAGCTTTTCTCCAAATCAAACGAGCACAGGTACCGTTCAAGCCACCCAATGCATCTCTTCCAACATCCAGTGTTTCTCAGTCGAACTCCACAAGTACTCCGACTTCAATGGCTTATCGCATTCATCTCCACTCATCGTCCGCCCTTCCCCTCAGCTCCTGCTCAAACCTCAAGGCCTCCGACAATGACTCATTTCTCCTCTTCCTCTTTCAAATTCCTCCATCCTGTGTCCGACTCTGACACAAGTATATATTTCTCACTATTACCAGAATGTCCTTGCATACTACCAGGTGCTATCCCAATACCAGAGTGAGAACTAGCAGGTGTTGACAATACCCTCCTCAAACTTTTGGTGCCACTATATGCTGAGCCGCTGTGCTTTCCTTCAAATTAAAAGTCCTTCAGTTAGTGGACTTGACTTAATTAGAGGATTTAATTACCTTTATTTTACTCCTCAATGTGATTTTGAATGTATGTTGCATGCTTTCCGTTCGCATTTTGAATTTGTTGGAACACAACTATGCAAAATAAACTTGCCTTGCATCGAAAGAAGTGCAAATTTCATTATTAAAGAAAAACACGGGGCGAAACCTGCACATGGAAAGTTTAAGAGAGCCAGTGAATTTATTACATGATCAGAATAAAGGTGAAAAAAACATACCACCAGTCTTTAGAAATAACCTCAGCTTTTCACATCTTTACAAGCATCTTAGTTGAGCATTTTATTAAAAAAATATATAGAAGTCAAGATGCCAAACATCCATTCCTGTCAATATTCCCACTAACAGTGTTTGGATGCAGTTGATCCGTCAGTTATCTTTTATGTGAAGAGGTTACCATTTGGTTTATATTTTATATAAAGGTGTGTTGATACCACCGAGGCCACTCCCATCCTGTCTAAGTATTAGTGAAAGAGGAAACTTGGCACACTTTAGGGAATATTGACATTTGTTTTCAAAAAGTTCCAACATACAAAAAGCTTCCTGGTGAGGCACATGGAAATAAATGGGCTTTGTTCCTCCACAGTATTTCCTTGGTGTCAGAGTTCAATCAAAACAACTATTCATTCGTCTCACATGACAGAGAAAGAGCCAGGGACTTTTTATTTTTCATATTCAGGTTAGTATTGATTTGGCGATGTTCAAGTCAGGACATTTAGGTACTGTAAGCACCAACCCAGTAGCAACATTTTTGATGAAAGGGAAAGTTTTAAGAAAGTCAAGTTAGGGGAAGTCTTTTTGGTTGAAACCACTTTCATGGCTGGCTATAGATTCACATCTTGCCTTCTAACTCTCAGCATCGAAAATGTAAATTCACTTTCTATCTAGCTGCTTTTAAATGAAGACTCAGTCCAGATGCTTTACGTAAACAGGTTCTGCTGAACAGGTATGGTGGGAGATTCTAGTGAGAACATTTAAAAGGAGTAAATCATTAGCAAAAAATAAATAAAGAGGAACCTGTTAGGTTGTATAAACATTAAACTGATACTGAGATACTTCCTGGTTGGAGGCGCAGGTGTTACAAGGAAGGTTTCTCATTTCTGTAAACGCCTGCTGCTTCCCCTCCTCTCTCCTCGGTTCCCCTCCTCGACTCCTCCGCTCGCATCTCCTGTGGGCGGGACTAAGACACGAGGATAGGAGTCGAGGATAGGAGTCGAGGAGGGGAGTCGAGGATAGGAGTCGAGGAGGGGAGTCGAGGAGGGGAGTCGAGGAGGGGAATTAGAGAAATTAGAAAGCTTCTAGGTGTTAATGCCATTATTGATGTCACCCATTGTCCTCTCCAAAAATAGGCCACACATTCACTTTTAAAGCGATATAAAAACATATTTAATGTGGTCAAAACAGGTCTGAATAGTGTGGTGCCATTTAATTTGAAAAAGGCAAATATAATTGCCAAGAACAGAGGAGATGTTGTTGGGTTTGCTGTCCTTTTGTTGCAGGGCTTGTCTATCTGAGTTAAATATTGTAAGTTAAAGTTTTTGGAAGTGCTGTAAAAACATAAATCCTAGCATCACAGATGGGGTTTTATTTATTTATTGGCTGCTCATAAAATAGCCTACAGGGACACAATGTAGATTCAATAAAACTGTCACAATAATATAATAAAAAAGCGTTACTTATAAAGCACCTTTGCTTTCACACAAAAAAATGTACATTTACAGTAAATGTAAAGGTGGTAAAATGCAGCCTGAGCACTTTTCTTTCCTCAGTTTTCCTCACATTGTACTTCTATATTTACTGTATCAGATAGAGAGCATATTTTGTGTTCACACAACTGTAACTGTATGTGCTATGCATGCATGTTGCAGCAATTAGTTACACATCTTTCGGTAGTGCAGAATTATCTACATGCAGAACAAAGCCCATGAAAGGAAAGAGAGCTTTAGATTGAGCACTGGTTGGTCAAAGGCTCTGGGTGAGGTGAGGTGTGTGCCATTTGGTTCAAACGTGTGTGTGTGTGTAGTTCTGAGTGCAGTGCTTCATTCTGCAGGACACATGAGGTGCAGTTTGGGTGCGTGGTTTTGTGAATTATGTTGAGTGTTTTGAGAAAATGAGTTTTTCTTTTCAAAAAACGTGTGTAATCAATTGAAAAGAACTGTAACTGTTGAAGAGATTTGGACACCAAAACACCTCATTGTTCCTAAACTTTTTTTTCATTCACTGCCACCGCCTCTCAAAGGGTTGCCATTGGAACCTGATGATGTATAAAAATGTAGGCCATTTAAAAAGTAACACGTGTATTTCTGAACGTACTTTACGAGGCAACAAGTTGTTTTTCAAAAACCTTCCAGAACAGGATAAGGCTTGTCTTGCAACAAGTCTGCAAAAGAAAACATGATTCACTCTGAGAATTATTAACATAGGGCATGTGCTAAACTCCTCCTCAGATTGATGTTAAAACTCTACTGTAAAGAAGACTCAGTACATTATTCACCTCAGCACCTCAGCACCTCAGCACCTCAGCACCTCAGCACCTGCACCTGTACTCCTGCAGCTCTGAAGACTTCAGACACAAAGACAGGACACGTCTCTCGTCTCCGTTTGGATTTGACTGGACTGAAGACTCAAAAAGGTAACAGATGAACGTCTTTTTTAACTATGATTAAATCAGGTTACAATGTGAGGATCAGACAAAGTGTTACTGGATTATTATGTGGTGGGTTCATTTAGTAAAAGCACAATTCAACAGACATGTGATGTCACATAAAATAGGAACAATTGTTGTTGTCCTCCAGATTTTTTAAATAATTTGAATGCAACAAAATAAAAAAACAATAGTTTTTTTTAATAATTAAAGTGAAATGCTGTGTTGTTACATGTTGACGTGTGGAACCAAACATACTAACTGAAGCAATCTGCTGCTGATGGATTTTTTAAAGCAGTTTTGAGATTAGGAAATAAAAACGGTCAAAGCTGCAGTAATGGGTTTCTGCCACAAGATGGTGCCAGAACACATGATATCTCATCATTAACAACAGTCTGTTGCTTATAGAGACTCAGAGACCCCTTTAGTTGATACTGTGCACTCAAAGCAATTTGTTTAGAAATCAGCAAGTCGTGCAGCATTTTGGTTTTAAGCTGTCATATTTGGCTCTCGCTATACAATAAAAAAGATCATCCCAGCATTTTGCATGTTTATTTATGCATGTTTATTATTTGTCAGTTTAGTGTGTATATGAAACTCAGTATGCTGGTGCAAACGCGCTATAACAGCCCAAAACACTTCCATCATAAAGTTGGCTTACTGTCACTATTGGAAGAGTTAGTCTCTAATGCTGCGTTCACACCGGACGCAATGCGATGTTTGGGGGCGGCGCGATTACATGTAAAGTCAATGCAGAGACGCGGACAGACGCGAATTCGCTCCGACGGCGAGCATGAAGCGGTGGACGCGGCGCGAATCACGCGATTGAGGCGATTGAACGGTGCCGCGTCAAACGCGAGAGTTCAATTTTTTCAACTCGAGCGTTAAATTCACGTAACGCGTTCTCGCGGAAGCCAATCAGCGGTGAGGATCTCAGCCTGTCGTCACTGACGTTCAACCAGAAAACATCAGCCGTTAGCTGTTAGCAGTTAGCACACAGAGCTCACAGCTCCTCATATCTGTTCAGAAACTGGACAAAAGTTAAACAAGTACAAACCACAGACTGTCTGTGTCATGGCGAATACAGTCGCTGCTTTATTTATGTCTGTAGGCCGTTGTTATGAGTGTGGAATGAGCATATACAACGTTAGCTTAGCCTGGTCGACCCGATCTTCATTCAGAAAACAAGCATTTTAAAAGGTTTTTTCGCCTGCCGTCTGTCTGCAGACTTGTCAAAGCATTAATTCATGGTTTTTACTAACCGGTATCAGTATGTTGTTACTTCGGCATCATTTTGAAACGTGTATTACAATTAAATCACGGTAAAATATGTTCATTTTGTTGTAGTTGTAGCTCCCGAGCTCCCGAGCCAGCTTGGTTGAATGATGCGAGTAAACACAGCTGGCAGCCGCGGTGAAACTCGAGCGTTTAGAGCGATTAGAGCGAAGCGATAGGAGCGATTAGAGCGAAGCGAATATTCGCATCGTGTCCGGTGTGAACGCAGCATAAGTGTTTGGTTAGTATTTTTGAAATATATAAATGACAAGGTTAGCTAGCTAGCTAGCTAACAGCAGATCTGCAGAAATATCAGAAGGAATCATGTGATCAGATTGTTCAAATAAGCAAATAAAACATTTCAGTTTATTTACGGACAACAGTGACAGTTGGACAACTTTATTATCCACGAACGTCAACAAACGCTCCGGTCACTTTTTAGTGTCTCCTGGTTTCCGTTGTGTTTTGAGCTTCTTGCAGCATTTTTTATTTGCAGTGTTTCATAATTGCAGCGTTTCGTCAAGTTGCTGAAGATGTTTCTTCATGTTTTTGCACATTTGTGTTTTTATAAATGCATCTTTTTTTTTTAAACTACATCACGTTTTTCCTAAAGGAGGCGTTTTGAATTGTCTTTATTTTGAAATCCCTTTTTATGCTTTGTTTTATTATACTATTTATGTATTTTAATTAGGGCTGTCAGTCGATTAAAATATTTAATCGCGATTAATCGCATGATTGTCCATAGTTAATCGCGATTAATCGCAAATTAATTGCACATTTTTTATCTGTTCTAAATGTACCTTAGAGGGATATTTTTCAAGTTTTTAATACTCTTATCAACATATGAGTGGACAACTATGCTTTATATGTTTGTTTATTATCATTTGAACAATGACAAATATTCTCATGAATATTAAACACAACAACCTCTGAACATTACAAATATTCGCCTCAATTCAACCTAGAACCTCTCTCATACAATAATACAGTGTGTGTGTGTGTGTGTGTGTGTGTGTGTGTGTGTGTGTGTGTGTGTGTGTGTGTGTGTGTGTGTGTGTGTGTGTGCGTGTGTGTGTGTGTGTGTGTGTGTGGAGACACTGTGATGGATCGTTGTAGCTATGTGTGCAGCTCAAGGCATATATGCTCGAATGGGAGCTGCCTGGACGCTGCAATCATGTAGCGCGTACTATCCGTGCTGAGTGTGCTGACTTTTCGTACAATGTCCCACTGTCTGGCTACCTGCATAAAGTCAAGTGCTCGGCGCAATTGTCGGCGAAATGTCATTGAAACAGCTCCTTATATCCGTTAGCGCTAGCTAGCACCAGATGCTAACAACAACAACAACACGTAAGGTGTGCCTCGCTCGCGCGAGTTGCGCCACACATACACACTCCCTCCCGGTCCTCCCGATGGCCAGTCCGGGCCTGCCAGTGAGCGTGGAAGTGTGGTCTGCCACACTTCGGGCAGGAGGAGCGGGGCTGCCAGCATCAGCTTGTAGATGGTATTTTACACTCGATGCGCTCTGAAACTACGGCGGCCGAGGACAAAAAATACACATGCGTTAATCGCGTTAAAATAATTAGTGGCGTTAATTTTTTTTTGCGTTAACGCGTTATTAACGCGTTAACTTGACAGCCCTAATTTTAATATATTCCCTTCACATTTTGAGTTTTATATAGAAGATGCCAATATTCATGAGAGGCAAGGTTTGCTTTATATTTGAAGAACATTTGTATTTAAGTTTAAGGTAATCAATTAGAAGTAGTTGCTTAGTTTTGAATACCAGATGCTATTTTCAATACTTGATATAATTGTTTTCCTGCTTTAGATTATCCCCACTGGGAATTGTCTTGAAAACAATTCTCAGAATCAAAACTGGATCTAAATTCTGAGCATTTACTTTCATTTCTCTTTCATAAAAATGTCCCAGTTGACTGTTCCTCTTACCCTTAAACTTGACCACTTGAACTCATACTTCTGTATTTCTTTAAAGCTCACATTTCAGAGCTGATTCATTTATTATTAATGTTTGTTTTGTATCTTCTACGTAGCACATCGTTGATTATTAAGAGGACATATTATGCACATTTTCAGGTACATTTTATTATTTTGTGCTTCTACTGTGACATGTTTTAATGCTCAAAAAGTGCTTTATTTTACCGACCACAGCTAGATTGTTTGTTTCACAAGTAATAAAGCTTACTTATAGGATGTGCCCCTGAATCAACAGATTGGCCCAACAGGTGGAAACCACTGCGTCTTTCATCAGTAACCATTGGGAATATTAGACTGTGAACTGAGAGACCATTTACAAACACAAACACCTTTATAAGAACATCCATAAACATTAATCTGTTTGCATCTTGCACATTATTTATCTAATATATTATATTCCATTTACTTGTATATAGACTCTTCTTGCACTATTTCTATTTCTATTTACTTGCACATCACAAAACATTCTCTTGCACTGTTTTATCTGTTTTATTTGTATCTATGTCCTATATATATTCATGTATCCTCTGTTGGAGGAGCCTATGACTTCAGTTTTTCATTGCCATATCTACACGTTGGCTAATGTGCACATGACAATAAAGCCTTGAATCTACAGGAAGGAGAAACCCCTAAAAAGCATGAAAGGGCCTCTTTAAGATGTAGAATTTCAGCAGTCCACTTCTACAGTCATGTAACGTTTCATCGTTCGTTTTGTTCTGTCTTTTGACCCTAGTGTTTGGCGATGGCATTACTGAAGATGTGGAGCATCCCGCCCCTCGCTGCTCTCCTCCTCCTATCCATCGTTCCCACTGGATCCAAAGTGGTGGATTCAATGTCAGAATGCGCAGAGTTTCTCCTTAACGAAACTCCACCGAATGTCCCAGGAATCCTAGAGGGAGGGAACATCCAGGACCAGAACAGATACAAACCCATTTGCCAGACTTTCCGTGGCATTAAACGTTATGTGACGCTCTACGACACGAAAAACAAGATCCCAGTGTTTTCTGCTTCCAAGTACATCGGGACAAACAGCACAAGACCTCGTGAGAAGAAAGATTGGAAAATAGAACCCCAGGTATGCTTTTGTTGTACTATCTAATAATTCACAACTATACTATAACATTGTTGGGCCAAGAAACTTAAACACTGCTTTGAGGAACCAATCCTCAACTCAACCACCCTGCCCTCAGTAACTTTGCCTTTTAATGGTTACAGCTTGAGGACATTCGTGACGATGAGAACATGATGATGGATGTCAATGGAAGTACCTACAATAAGCAGGCTGTGGATTCTGACTACATCAACCACTACACCAAGCGAGGGTTCGACAGAGGGCATTTATTTCCATGCTCTTACGCCTCTACAGTAGATGATAAGAATTCTACCTTCACCCTCACCAACATTGTTCCACAGAATGGTTTTTTCAACAAGGGAAGCTGGAACAAAATGGAGATCTGCATCAAATGTGTTCTGGATGAATATTGCATCAATAACAACAATATCAAAGAAGGCTTTTTGGTCATTGGAGCCCAGCCAGGCAACAACATCATTTCAAACAAGGTTAATGTCCCGTCCATGCTCTGGTCTGCGTTCTGCTGCTACAGTCACAGTGAAAACAGGTGGCTAGCAAGTGCCCACTGGGGCCCAAACATCGATGGTAGAGAATATCTGCAGACCAAGACCTTGGCAGAGCTCCATAGTGAACTGAGCACAGCGAGCTCAGCATTTGAAGTGTTTCCTGGAACACAATGTCCTCTCCACACAACTGTCACTGAGTTTTACCCAAAACTAAATGCTGGAAAAAAACAATGCCAATGCCCACCACCCATTCTGACTACTTCTGCCGCTCCAAATCTACGGCCCCTAGTACCACATCTGGACCTCTTAATACCTCATCTGGACCTCTTAATACCACATCTGGCCTACTTTCTAGCACCTCTGATCCTTACAGCACAACATTTGCTGATCTAACTACTACATCTGGCCCACTGAGTTCTTCATCTGTTCCACTTTCTACTACATCTGCCCGATTCACTACCACATCTGACCTTTACAGTACAACATCTGCCCCTCTTTCTACCACATCTATGCCTATCACCACTACATCTAGACCATATTCTACCACATCTACGCCTCTCAGTACAACATCTGCCCCTACAACCACAACAACTAGCTCCACTGCTTTGACAACCAGTCCCTACTCAACTACTGCTGTTACCATCTTGAGCACCACTATACCTACAACGACACAAACTCCTCCTACAGCCACTCTCCCTCCTACCACAACATCTGTTGACCAAAGTCCGTACAACAACCACCAAAACTACAACAACAACAACTACCACTACAACAACACAAGGAGGAGGAGGAGGAGGTGGAGGAGGAGGGGGCGGAGACATTACATTTGTTCCAACCACTACTATCGCTACTACCATGACCACCGTTCATGCCTTAACCTCAACCCAACAATCATCTACCCAACAATCTTCTACCAAACAATCAACTACCCAACCATCAACTGTAGCATAAGCTGCTACTACCCTTGCAAAAAGTTCCCAAATTGGGATCAATACAGTACTTATCTATCCAACTATCTATCTATCTATCTATCTATCTATCTATCTACTGAGCCATTAACTTCTCCAACGCCTCAGAGCAGTTCGACTGTTGTTCCTTCCAGCGACAACGTTACTCTTTCAAATCCCACATTCAGCTTTTCTCCAAATCAAACGAGCACAGGTACCGTTCAAGCCACCAATGCATCTCTTCCAACATCCAGTGTTTCTCAGTCAAACTCCACAAGTACTCCGACTTCAATGGCTTATCGCATCATCTCCACTCATCGTCCGCCTTCCCCTTCAGCCCCTGCTCAAACCTCAAGGCCTCCGACGATGATCAATCCTCCTCTTCCTCTTTCAAATTCCTCCATCCTGTGTCCGACTCTGACACAAGTATATATTTCTCACTATTACCAGAATGTCCTTGCATACTACCAGGTGCTATCCCAATACCAGAGTGAGAACTAGCAGGTGTTGACAATACCCTCCTCAAACTTGTGGTGGCACTATATGCTGAGCCGCTGTGCTTTCCTTCAAATGAAAAGTCCTTCAGTTAGTGGACTTGACGTAATTAGAGGATTTAATTACCTTTATTTTACTCCTCAATGTGATTTTGAATGTATGTTGCATGCTTTCCGTTCGCATTTTGAATTTGTTGGAACACAACTATGCAAAATAAACTTGCCTTGCATCCAAAGAAGTGCAAATTTCATTATTAAAGAAAAACACGGGGCGAAACCTGCACATGGAAAGTTTAAGAGAGCCAGTGAATTTATTACATGATCAGAATAAAGGTGAAAAAAACATACCACCAGTCTTTAGAAATAACCTCAGCTTTTCACATCTTTACAAGCATCTTAGTTGAGCATTTTATTAAAAAAAAATATAGAAGTCAAGATGCCAAACATCCATTCCTGTCAATATTCCCACTAACAGTGTTTGGATGCAGTTGATCCGTCAGTTATCTTTTATGTGAAGAGGTTACCATTTGGTTTATATTTTATATAAAGGTGTGTTGATACCACCGAGGCCACTCCCATCCTGTCTAAGTATTAGTGAAAGAGGAAACTTGGCACACTTTAGGGAATATTGACATTTGTTTTCAAAAAGTTCCAACATACAAAAAGCTTCCTGGTGAGGCACATGGAAATAAATGGGCTTTGTTCCTCCACAGTATTTCCTTGGTGTCAGAGTTCAATCAAAACAACTATTCATTCGTCTCACATGACAGAGAAAGAGCCAGGGACTTTTTATTTTTCATATTCAGGTTAGTATTGATTTGGTGATGTTCAAGTCAGGACATTTAGGTACTGTAAGCACCAACCCAGTAGCAACATTTTTGATGAAAGGGAAAGTTTTAAGAAAGTCAAGAGAGGGGAAGTCTTTTTGGTAAAAGGAGTAAATCATTAGCAAAAAATAAATAAAGAGGAACCTGTTAGGTTGTATAATCATTAAACTGATACTGAGATACTTCCTGGTTGGAGGTGCAGGTGTTACAAGGAAGGTTTCTCATTTCTGTAAACGCCTGCTGCTTCCCCTCCTCTCTCCTCGGTTCCCCTCCTCGACTCCTCCGCTCGCATCTCCTGTGGGCGGGACTAAGACACGAGGATAGGAGTCGAGGATAGGAGTCGAGGAGGGGAGTCGAGGATGGGAGTCGAGGAGGGGAGTCGAGGATAGGAGTCGAGGATAGGAGTCGAGGAGGGGAATTAGAGAAATTAGAAAGCTTCTAGGTGTTAATGCCATTATTGATGTCACCCATTGTCCTCTCCAAAAATAGACCACACATTCACTTTTAAAGCGATATAAAAACATATTTAATGGGGTCAAAACAGGTCTGAATAGTGTGGGGCCATTTAATTTGAAAAAGGCAAATATATTTGACAAGAACAGAGGAGATGTTGTTGGTTTTGCTGTCCTTTTGTTGCAGGGCTTGTCTATCTGAGTTATATATTGTAAGTTAAAGTTTTCGGAAGTGCTGTAAAAACATAAATCCTAGCATCACAGATAGTGTTTTATTTATTTATTGGCTATACTGCTCATAAAATAGGAACACAATGTAGATTCAATAAAACTGTCACAATAATATAATAAAAAAGCGTTACTTATAAAGCACCTTTTCTCTTTCACACACAAACAGGACACATTTAAAACTAACAGAAAATAAAACTAACAAAAAATCACAGAAAATAAATGATGAGAAGTTTTTAAAAGTGATTTCAGATTCAGGTTTATATTTGTATCCATAGCAGGTATGGTTTGCAGTTAAAAGACAAGACCTGACAAAAGGAAAAATAAAATGCTGAAGTTAACGGTACTCATTAACAAAAATTCACACAGACATTAGTCTTGTAAAGTCTGAATAATAAATGCACATACACTCGGTGAAGATAGTGCACAGTGTTGTTGTTGTCATCTCCATGTTGGTACTTTAAGTATATTTTGATGCTAATACTCTTGTACTTCTACTTTTACTCAAGTACAAGTCTGAGTACTTCTTACCCCTCTGATATTAAACAAAATTAAAATTAAATGTGCCTACCTGACCATATTAATTGGGCTCCTTGCGTATTTAATAGGACAAGTGACACTAATGCAAACACATTGACGCTCTGCAGTTGATTCCTTCAAAGATATTTTAGAACGAGTGTGTGTGTGTGTGTGTGTGTGTGTGTGTGTGTGTGTGTGTGTGTGTGTGTGTGTGTGTGTGTGTGTGTGTGTGTGTGTGTGTGTGTGTGTGTGTTGGTAAACTCCTGTCTGATAGCGCTAGGGTGCCAACAAGCAACATGTGGGACAAAAAGGTTTTTTGCGGGACATGTTACTGCTTTGAGCTAGATTAGATGTATGTCTATCTAACCCTTAAGGAGAACATTTCTATTAAACTACTAGCTTATAAATATGAATAACAACGCTTTACTTTGGTTTAATGTTTGCACTGCAAGTGAAGGAATTAATTTGTTTTGAATGGAATTAACATGACAAATTATTATGACCAGAAATAAATGACCGGAGCTAGTTTACTGCCACTGTCTGCTGCCCTGTGTGGTATTACATCAGCTGCTGTTACCTAATCTCTTTTGGTTTCAGGAGGAATATATCCATAGATCGATATTTTCTTTAAGAGCCAGGCGTTTATTGAGAGTTTCGGGGGTGCGTCGCTTCAAACATATTCACCTCCGTGCGCAATTTAAAAAAAGAAATCTGGCAAATCTGACAATAACTCTCTGGGAATCGCCCTCCACCGGCTACACCCATAAGTGATTTGTCTGTGGATTGATTGACATCTGACACAGCTAATGGTGATGATAGCCCTCTCGTTTTCTACACACCTTTGTATAAAAACCTTGTTTAAGACGGGCGACTGTCAATCAAATGCCGGACATCGGCTAAATGTGTTGGAGAAATTATAAAACCGGTTTTAACTAGGGGTGGGCGGATCGATCCCAAAATATCGATACTTCCGATATTACGTTACGTTTCAAAATATTGATACTAGAGCCAATAGGATCGATACTTTTATACATTTTCCCCCCTCTCCTCTACTCGTCAATTTCATCAAAAACTATGTGCAGACGAACACAATTATATGCGCTCTTTTCTTCTCTCTCCACTGCTGTCCTCCTCTCCTCGAGGCTCGCGCACGCGCAGCGCGCTCCCTGCCTGAACGCCGATTATCAAACTGACTGACAGCAGCCAGCAGGGCAGGATAGCAGCAGCCAGCGACTCGCGAGTGCGACAAACACACGCGCATGATGGCTGAGAGAAAGAGGAGCGTTGTGTGGAGCTATTTCACAACTGTCAATGAAAACTTAGCGAACTGTGATGTGTGCAAGAAGGCAGTTCGCTACTGTGGCCACTTTGTATTGTTATTTTTCATGTTTGCACTTTAAATTTGCAAAAGTAAAATGTTTATTTGTCTATAAAAACTGTCCTGTCTTTAATCATGAACATTAATTCCGATTTAGTCTATTTATGATGCATTCAGCTCAAAAATCATGTCATGCAGCTCTCCCCTATATGAAAGTACATAAGAAGCTTTTCATTTAAGAAAGTATCGGTATCGGTATCGGCGATACTGGCCCTGAAATACTTGGTATCGGATCGAATCCAGATGTTGTGGTATCGCCGATCCCTAGTTTTAACCGTTCTAACAGAATTGCGGCGTTGCCATGGCGTAGATGGGAAACTCCCTCATTTTTTTCAATGAGGGAGGTCTTTGTCCTGGTCTTTGTTTAAAAAGCTCTGCCAGTAAAGCATTATACATCCATGCAGTAAGGGCTGTGGGGTTTTTTCGGTCTGTCTGCAGGATTATTACACACATTATTATGGACTGTTATGGGCTATTTTACAGTGTTTCACCCTCGCCTGTAAAATTACGCTTCATCTTCGTCATTTGGCTTTTTTCATCCCTTGCTGCCGGTAAGATCAACAATGTGTTCCTGTAGTGATGAAAGCAAGCGATATTCATCTTTAAAGAATCAAGATACATTAAATTGTAGTAAGCTATGTTATCTTGTTCAGTGCTACATACAAACGATGGTGGAAAAAGCACTAACCCTAACCCTGTAAAAATACTCAATTTCAGGTCAAAGTACTGCATCGAGAATGGTACTCAAGTAACAGTAGGCTATTTAAGTATGCAGAGGTAGAAAAAGTACTCTCAGATCTTGTACTTGAGTAAAAGTAGAAGTACTCAGATCTTGTTCCTCAAGTAAAAGTAGAAAAGTATTATCATCAAAATATAGTTAAAGTAGCGACAGTAAAAGTAGTCATTGTGCAGATTGTACCATTACAGAATAATATATATGATATGTTTTATAATGATTGATCATTAAAGTGTTCTCAAAGCTGGTAAAGGTGCAGCTAGTTGTAATGACTTTGTATACTGCAGGGTAGCTTGTGGATTTACTCCAGGTGGTGGAACTAAAGTCTGATTTAACACTTGATTAGATTTCACATCATTCATCCACATCTGTCAAATGTAGTGGAGTAAAAGTACACCATTTACCTCTGAATGTATAAAGTTTACAGTAATGTGCTTTAAACATACATTCAGGAGGTGTATTTATCTCTCTCAATCTCACAGGATATAGGTTTTACATGTAATGTTATATATAACTATATGACGCACTCTTCTTAAAAGGTTGTTTTGATAACATTGTTATTTTTATACTTGGCTACACAGGGGACTTTTCTGTTTCCATTTAGACTCGATGACATTCATTTCCACTTGAATAGTGTTATTGTTTTTTCTCTGTTAGACAGGTGGGCTGGGGGCAGGAGCTCCAACAAGGCATGTAGGACAGAGAGTGAATACACATACTATACAGATAGAGAGATAGAGAGATAGATGGTCTTTAATGGTCACACATTCAGAGCACACAGTGTGCATTCAACCCAACCTAGTACTAGGAGCAGTGGGCAGGGTTGTCTGGTGCCTTGCTCAAGGGCACCACAGCAGGGCCCTGGAGGTGAACTGGGACCTCTCCAAGTGCCAGTCCACACTCCATATTTAGGTCTGTTCGGGGACTTGAACCGGCGACCCTACCGCTCACAGTCCAAGCCCCTACTGACTGAGCCACTGCCGGATGATACAGAGATGCTGTATGAAAAAAACAATCTGATTTTGGAACATTGAAGAATGTAAATCTATTCTAGTAGCTAGTCACTTCAACAATGGAATTATATGATCAGACCATAAGATGGGACCTTTAAAACTGAGTTTACACTATAAACATCACATGGAGTTGGTGCATGTGATGGGTGTTTTGTAAACAAAATGTGACTTTCATGATGGAACATCTCGTGCCTCATGCCAACACACACACGAGAGGGGAGATAGCCGGGGACACTGCAGGGGGACAGACTCACCCCCAGAGTCTCTGTAACACACACACACACACACACACACACACACACACACACACACACACACACACACACACACACACACACACACACACACACACACACACCACACACACACACACACACACACACACACACACACACACACACACACAAGCATTGTGATGTATATCCAAAGAGGAAGTTAGTCTCCCATGACAGTTGGTGCATCTAACATTGGTGTTTTGTAAACAAAATGTGACTGTCATGAGGGAACCACACACACACACACACACACACACACACACACACACACACACACACACACACACACACACACACACACACACACACACACACACACACACACACACAAGCATTGTGATGTATATCCAAAGAGGAAGTTAGTCTCCCATGACAGTTGGTGCATCTAACATTGGTGTTTTGTAAACAAAATGTGACTGTCATGAGGGAACCACACACCACACACACACACACACACACACACACACACACACACACACACACACACACACACACACACACACACACACACACACACACACACACACACACACACACACACACACACACACACACTAATAGAATTATGAAATATTTGGAGATGGGGGAAAACAATGGGATCCTGTGAAGCCCGCTGTTTAGACCGGCTTGAGTTTCAATAATCAGGATTAATGTATTTATTGTTTGCAAGAATGGAAGTAGTCATCACATACAGCAATAGGACAGTGTCCTCCGCTCACTTGTATACAAGATAAAACGTTTTGCAGTTACAAGATGGAGGAATACTGGTTCATAGCACTACTCTATACTTTGTTAAAGATAACTGAGGCCCACGTCACAAATGATCACGCGTGTCATCTCCCTAGAGGCAAAACATTTGATTAAATATCATCCCATAATTATGATGTGCCTGTGACAGCGTGGCATGTTTACCTTCTCGTAGGGCCTGTCAAACACACTGTCATATATTTGGACCTTTGTTATCACACACTCTTCTGTTGTCCTTGAAATAGCACATTCAGAATTTTCCCATCAAACTGTTATAATGTAATTATCCTGTGGAAAACTGGTTGGAATCCAAATGAAACAGAAGAACTCCACTGAGGATACTTTAATCATTACTTTGCATTTCAGTGAGCTGAGGATTTTATCCAAAGCGACTTAAATGCACGTTCTACCAATCAGAGGGTCAGTGGGTCAATACCCAACCCCTGCAAGTGACAGTGAAAGTGCTCTTGGGCCAAATACTAAAAATAAACCTTACATTTCGACCCAAATGCATGTCAGCGGTTTAGAAGTGTTTGTAGGTCGCTTTGAATAAAGCTACAAAACATGTATTCATGTAATCTAACCTTAAAGATACAAACTGAAAACAGCTAAAATCCTGCAAGTATTTAGCTTTCAATAAGCCGAAAAAAATTCCATGCCACCCACCTCCCCTCCTAGAGCAATCCTCCTACGACGACTACTGAAGACTACCCTCATCCATCGCCTCCTACTCCTCCTCATCCCTCCTCCTACTTTTCCTCCGCTTCCTCTTCCTCTTCCTCCTCCTCCTCCTCTTCCTCCTCATCTTTCCCATAGGTTTTTTAACTTTATCCTCCATTTCTCAGGTCAGCCTCAGGTGATCGGTTCCCTTCAGCCAATCAGAGCTGCTCCAGGTGATGACATCATCCTCGCGTGCCACGTGGAGCCTCCGATAGATGTGTCAGGACTGACCGTTGAGTGGTCGAGGCCCGACCTGAAGCCGGACCCCAAAGACCGCCTGAGCAGAGTGGATTACGTTCATCTTTATCGCGACAGAAGGGAAGTCACAGATATTAAGATCTCGTCGTACGTGGGGCGCACGCTGCTGTCCACAGCGGGCCTGGGGAAAGGAGACATATCCCTCAATATCACCAACGTGACGCTTGAAGACGAGGGGAAATTCAGATGTTTCATCCCGAAATTAGAGGGTCAAAAAAAGTTTGCAATCGTTATTCTCGTTGTTGGTGAGTTAAACGTTAACATGTTTTATTTTATCAACATTTTGCACATGTAGAAAGTGTCACAATATAATATAAAACAAGATCACTAACTCAAGTATCTTCATGTCAATGGTTTACGTTGCCCCATATGAAACAACTATAGATTGGTGCAGTGATGCCGTATTGTTTAAGTTGGCATAGTGAGGGCTCCCTTGACAAAAAGCCAATTGGTTTTTTCCATTGGATTTTGGAATATTGCAAAAAATAAGATCTATGGCAACACACACATTTATGATACATTTACGATAGCGTAAATGCAATCTTCAGAAGGAAAATGCTATCGTTAGGCTATAAAGGAACTACAGCACGGTCACATGACTTCACGTGACCACCGCTAAGCTAAAGGTGGCTAATGTTGGGCTATAAAGGAACTACAGCACGATCACATGACTTCACTTCACCACCGCTAAGCTAAAGGAGGCTAATGTTGGGCTATAAAGGAACTACAGGACGGTCACATGACTTCACGTCACCACCGCTAAGCTAAAGGCAGCTAATGTTGGGCTATAAAGGAACTACAGCACAGTCACATGACTTCACGTCACCACCGCTAAGCTAAAGGCGGCTAATGTTGGGCTATAAAGGAACTACAGCACGGTCACATGACTTCACATCACCACCGCTAAACTAAAAGGCGGCTAATGTTGGGTTATAAAGGAACTACAGCACGATCACATGACTTCACTTCACCACCGCTAAAGTGAAGGCGGCTAATGTTGGGCTATAAAGGAACTACAGCACGGTCACATAACTTCACGTCACCACCGCTAAAGTGAAGGCGGCTAATGTTGGGCTATAAAGGAACTACAGCACGGTCACATGGCTTAATGTCACAAGAGACCCGAAAGTGCTGACTTGCTAACTCATTTTACAGGTTTTTAAGACTTATTCCTGCACTACTCTATAGTCTCCTTTAAATACTGTGTTATAAGTAATTACATATCTTTTTTTCCAGAGCAAAACTCCCCGACAACAGAGACACCACTGCAACCCAGAAATCTCCAAACTCCTGATCCTAAGGAAGAAACGGCCGATAAAGGTGACAGAAAGTTGTTTTTTGGAGCTAATCTGTTCATAGAAACCTGATTTTTTTACAATCAAACCTAAGAATTCATGCATATTTTGATATTAGAATGTCCTTTTTACATTAGGAATAGGGCAGATAGTAACAGATGGGACGTCCATGTTGAACTTTAGTTGTGCAGCGCCTCTGTGTTTGACCATGTTTTGAATAGAGGCCGATTTGCTTAATTTGCAAATATAGGAGTATGGAAGAATACGTGGTGGCATACAATGTGACTTCCTGGTTTTCTTTAGCCAGACTTTAAATAAACCTTAAGTTTACAGACATCAGATCGTTCACCAGCTTCCTTTCTCTGAAGTCAACGCTCCAAAAACAGGATCCATCACAAGTCTTAAATAGCCAACCTCTTAGTCTCTTTTCCGCTGTGAGTCTCTCTCTCTGTATTTCAATTAGATCAGCTCTAATCATATTTCTTTGTTTGTTCTTCTTCTTGTCAGGTGTGTCCAGTCGCAGCAATGCGATCCCAGTCATAGTTTTCAGCTGCCTTTTGGGGATCCTGTTTATAGGATTTTCAGTTTATTTGGGTCGCAAACATTTTCGAAAACCAGAAGTACCGAACATGATCTAATTTAATACTTGAATATAAATCAGTTATCATTTCATTGATAAGTATTCTCTGCTAGAAAACATATACTTTCTTCCTGTATGTGAAAAGGAGACAGTTGAATACTTATTTATTATTCATTTGCCCTGAAGCTCATGTCTAGTGTACATTGGTAGATTTTGCTTCACAGAAATTATAATACGCACTACGGAAATGAACCTCTCCCACTACTGCAGAAGGATAGCACTAAGTTGAATTCAATTTGACCCTGATGTGGAAAGTTTTTATACAACATGATAAAGGTGATCATTTCAAGCAATCTTGGTATTTCCAAGAAGCTTTATCATGCGCCTTCAGCAGGACATACACAGAAAGGTCCATTTGAACTCTGCTCTTGGTGTTTGATGCTCTCTTAAAGTGCCTAAATACTTCAGTAAGTACTTGTTCATGACTCCTTTAATTTCCCTTGATTTTTTTCAGTTGTTATTTAAGTATTGAATACATGTTCAATGTGTGTGTAGCATGAGGGTGGGGCAGCTTATAATTTATTTATTGTGTTGTTATAAATGTTCTAACAATGACTGATTTGTATTCTAAAATGTTCCAAAGAGGCTGGACCTGTTTATTTTTTCCACTTTACATAATTTTGTAAAGGTTCTTTCTGTGTGCAGTGTTTTGCTCTGTGTGTAAAAATAATCAGCATAGCGTTAAACGTTACCTGTTCACGCTGTTTAACGAGGTATTGTTCATCTTTTAAGTTATTTTTGGATGTATTTAAGTTATTCCGTTAGTGTTTTCAATCATTATCCAAGACTTTATCCAATGTTACTTGAGATTGTTTCAAAATGAGTTCATTTGTTACGACATTTTGAAGTATAACCTTTGTGACCACATAATAGTTGCCAAATAAAAACAGTGTGTTTGCATCATGTGTGCTGTTGGTAATATCTGTGCGGGAGTTCAGTGTTTACTCAACAAGGGAAAGGTCTTTTAAGCTGACAGTAGATCTAACCCTCCTTATCGTATTTATGTATGTGTTTATTATAAAACAGTCATTTACTCCATGGCTTTTGTCATCTGTGAGCTCTTGGTAGAAGATTCATACATAAACACCAGCTGTTTGTTGCTGTAACCTTCATCCTTAATTCATACTAGATCACCTAATCATCAGCTTGTCTGCTGCCTAAAAAGAGAACTGTTGAGCTGTTCATCAGTCATGGAAATAACTCCACATGCCTACTCGTTTTACTTGCAGTATTTTAGTCTTCATGTTTCCATAGGGATGTTAGCATGTGATGATCCATGATGCAGACTGAGTCATTTTCTTATAACAATAGCAGATTAAGCACCGTCTGTGTGAGTGTGTGTTATGTAGAGTTGACGGAAACAGAGCTTTATGCTTTTCCTACACGACCCATTTTTCTTGATAAACCAGTTCATCTTATTCTATAAAGCACCTGCAGACTAGTGTTTTCCCCACACACGTATTTCCATTGGCAAAAAAACATAGCCTACCCACACTTGTTCTGACGTCAAGTTGGGCTGACTCAAAACCTAATTTTTTATTTTTTTTACCAAGAATGAAATCATTAAAGCAGCATATTATACATATTATGAATAAAAAGGCAAAACTAGTTGTGTATGATGTGGTTGTCTGATTCTTCTGGGCTTCACTTAATGAACATATTAATTAGAAAGGATTGTTTTCTCAATAACAAATCAAATCAGGACTGGGACAAAAAATCAGCCCGGGAATCTCATCCAGCCCAGCCCACGTGAATTGTCAACGGGGGCTGGGCTGGCAGCTGAGAAGGCTCGGTCGGTACCCTCATGTTTATAGCCTGGTATTGGGCACTATCAGCAACAGTTGATCAGCCACCCAGACACACCAAGCTGACACCAAAGAACTGACACAGACGGACCCGACTGTTGTGTCGCCTCACGTCTCTGCGTCTTGGCCAACAGTCGCACTGGAACACACCGCAAAGACTTCAGCCGACGGCCAAGAAGCAAGTACGAACTGCGCATGCGTGAGTGGCAATAACTCTCCTTACCAGCAGGCGGCGGTAGTGTGTATTCGTCATTCAAAAGAGGCAACAACCGGAAGACAGACTGCGTGATACACCGAGAGAAGAAGAACAGACTGCGTGATATAAACAAACAACAAATAGCGTGTGCGTTCCATTTTCACTCTGCAACGAGAAGCTCATGGGGCTTTCCCGAACCTGTGTCGAGAGCTGGAGTTAAATGAAATCTCAGATTTGCCTTCAATAGTTTGTTTGGGTCCCTCACTTCCGTTTCACTTCTCATGAACTGATTCGCTAGCTGAACAGCCAATCAGAGTGATTTCTTTTGCCGACAGCCTTTGGCCGATTGCCTACCGAATGTAGAATCGGTAGGTTTTCGGCCGAAAAGGCGTCGGCACGGCTGAAAAGACACACCGGTGCGGGACACACCAATCTGAGTAGGGCGTGTCGACGCTCATCGTCGGCCTGACGCCCACAGACAGCCAAAATCGGCTTTAAAGCTCTGGCAGGGGTGTGGCGATGGAGGAGTTGGGCTATAGCCAGAGCCAGCCCATTTAGGGCTTTGAAAACAAATTAAAATAGTTTAAAATCAATTCGGAACCGAATTGGAAGCCAGTGTAATGAGGCCAGAATTGGGGTGATGTGGTCACGCTTTTTGTGTCCAGTCAGAAGATGCGCAGCTGCGTTCTGGACTAGCTGCAGGCGTCTGACTAGCTGCAGGCGTCTAATTGAGGCCTGGGGCCTCATTTATAAAGCCTTGCGTAGGATTCACGTGGGAAGTTTGCTTACGTAGGACAAAGCAAATACGCACAGACCATTTCCGATTTATAAAACACTGCGTACCGGCGTAGGACGTGCCACACGCACGTGCTACGCCGGTTTCCCTTTATAAATCACAGTCAACTCGAAATGCGGCGCAGTTTTTTGCGGGCTTCACGTAACGCCCATCATGACGACTGGATCTTAATTATTTTTTTGTATTTGGTGGTTTGTGTTCCAGCTTTCGATCAGCAACTATATAGGCTATCCATAATCCACCATAAGGAAATACAACTAATGTGTTGTGTTATATTAGCTGTTGTAGTGCCGAGAGATAGGAGTCGGAGGCGGTGCATCGAAGGTGCAAATGGGTACTTTAATGAGCGACAGAAATGGACATGTTGTCGGGTCGCAGCCCAGGAAGAGAAGAGAAAGCGAAAGGGAGGGCACGCAGTAAGTACCAACCAAGTATGTCCGTGTGGAAACAGTACCCCCAACCTGTAGTTCCATGATTGGATTATGTAACCCCAGTGTATGAATCAGTGATCACTACACAAGCCCCCCCAGAATTCAAACATGGCACAATCCTCGCGTCCGGGAGGAAGCACCACAGGGGCCGAGGAGGGCGGGGCCGTCGGAGAGGGCCGGGCCATGGAACGGGCCGTCGGAAGGGGGCCACAGGAGAGGGCAGGAGCCCTAATGAGGGCGAGGGCATCCCCACCGGGGGTGGGGGGCCGTCGTAAGGGGGCCGCGGTAGGAGTCGTGGCGAATGAAGAAAACCTCCGCCAGCCATAGAAAACAGGGCCGCTGTGCTGCGACGTGGGGACGGGCGTGAATATCCCGGTGGTCCCCAGCAGGGAGGAGCGCCGCCCGGCCGCAGGTGTAGGGACAGCGGCGGCGGGTACGAAGTCCTCGGGAGGAAGGAGCCGTGTCCCCGGGAGGAGGGAGCCGTGGACAGGGGAGAGGCCAGACGGGGCGCCGTCCGAAGCCGCCGTCGAGGCGAACCGTGAGCCGCGGTTAGAGTCGAGGCGAGACGGGGTCCAGAAGCGCGCCACCCACGGGCCGAAGAAGGCATGGGCGACGTCCGAAGCCGCCGTCGAGGTGGTGAAAAAGCGAGAGGGTCCACACGAGGCCGACCAGACATGGTCGAACCTCCTCTCAGGCACCAGAAAAAGCTCAAAAGGGTCGTCCTGTCCACGATCAAAAACAGGTGGGCGAAATTCTGAGAGGATCCACACGAGGCCGACCAGACGTGATCGAACCTCCTCTCCGGCACCACAAAAAAAAACAGTCGGTTGTCGATAGCCGCTAGCTGCTAGTCGTTAGCTGTCGTCGTCAGCCGTTGCTAGCTGTCGTCGTTAGCCGTTGGTAGCTGCTAGCCGTCAGCTGTCGTGGCTAGCTGTCGTTAGCCGTTGGTAGCTGCTAGCTGTTAGCAGTCGTGGCTAGCCGTTCTCGACGGCCGTTAGTCGCTGTCGTCGTCGTCGGCCCCGGAGCCTCTGCCAGGCGGCGTGCCCCCACCAGGGAAGGTACTGCAGCGTGTAGTGGCAAGCACCTCAGGGGTAAATCGCTGGGCGGCCAGGAAGAACCGGCTAGCTTCTTCGGCCAAAGCGCGGGGCTCAACACTAGCCGTGTTAGCTAGCGCAGCCTGGACTTGCAGCCGCATGTCCCGAAGAAACAGCTCCAAGAGGTAGAAGTCGGGTTCCTCCATACCTAGCAGGTCGCGGGAATGGCGAGCGACGTCCTCAGCCATTCCGTGGGGCGCACCGAGCCTCAGTCTGTGTGCACGTGGCAGCCACGGACGTCTCCAAGAATCCCCGGCATTTCGAGAAAAGCTGCGCTTTTTGCCGTGTTCGGTTCAGTCTCGGATCCTTCGCAAGACTTATGTTGGGGTCACCAATGTAGTGCCGAGAGATAGGAGTCGGAGGCGGTGCATCGAAGGTGCAAATGGGTACTTTAATGAGCGACAGAAATGGACATGTTGTCGGGTCGCAGCCCAGGAAGAGAAGAGAAAGCGAAAGGGAGGGCACGCAGTAAGTACCAACCAAGTATGTCCGTGTGGAAACAGTACCCCCAACCTGTAGTTCCATGATTGGATTATGTAACCCCAGTGTATGAATCAGTGATCACTACACTGTACAATTTACCACATATGGTGTTCTTAGTTTCCATACCTCCTGTGTTTTACGAGCGACTTATCAAGTCTTGGCAAACGGCATAAAACACGATTAAACGTGATAGTATATAAAACCATGCTCGTATCTACAACCTATAGAAATGCAAAACGGCGTCAGTTTAGACGTAATTCTGTCCTCCTGCTTACCGCATCATTTATGAGAAAACATTTCATAACATTAACACAACATATTCGAGGTGGTTTTAAATAACATATCCGTATTTATTTATTTCTCCAAGTTATGTTTTTGTGTGCACCGAGGAGTCTCAAACAGGCGTTTGTTTAATCATTTTAAGATTGGCTTTAATCAATGTTTGAAAATGAATTCTTCATATTTCATAAATGAGAGGCAACATTTTATTTATGGTATTATTTCCACATATTTCTCTCCATTCTTCCTTCTGCCAACGGTGTCGCAGTTTCTCGTCTCTCCCGTTTGTGTGCTTAGTGCGTACGCATGCGTTAGAGTTTGCGTGGAGGACCGCACATTTTCCCGTCAAGTTAGTATTTTATAAATCGCAAATATTGCGTAGAAACGGGCGTACGCCATTTTTTGAGCGTATATCCCTTTATAAATGAGGCCCCTGAAGCGCAAATGCAAAAACCCTCAGCTCTGCTGTCTGTGTGTGGGCGAATTATTTAAAGTTCACTGAAACCAAGCTTTCTAAAAAATACCCATTTTCTTTATAAACCAGTCAACGTATTTTCCCCACACATGGATTTCCAATGGCACGTAAGTGTTATGTTAATTGCTTCAAATGAACAGTCTGAAGTTTATAAGTTTTAAAAACATACCCACACTTACTGGATATTCACTTGTTCTGACGTCAAGTTGGGCTGACTTGAAACCTAATTTTGAATATTTGTTTACCAAGAATGAATTAATTAAAGGAGCACTATTACACATATTATGAATAAAAAGGCAAAACTAGTTGTGTATGTTGTGGTTGTGTGATTCTTCTAGGCTTCACTTAATGAACAAATTAATTAGAAAGGATTGTTTTCTCCATAACAAAGAAGTTAGGGAGGTTTTATTCAACATTTGACATGCAATGTTTCCTGTAAGAAGACACTACACTATTTACACTATTCTTGTAATTACTGTAATTGACATGGATGAACCATTTGTCATTTATTCTTCTTTTTGGTCTGATGAGTTCTTGAAATCCCGTCAGTGGTCACTATTTTATGTATGTTTTTTAAATCAATGAATGTCTACCCCTGACTTCAACTTATAAGATGTTCATATATGTTCTTGAATAAATAAATAAAAATAAAATGAAGGTTAATTAGTCAACTCTCCGAGACTCGGACACAGCTCGGCTATCTCCGTACGCGGTCACGTGATTTCCGATGGGGTAAAAAAACAAAACACGGGCTAGCAAAAGAGCTGTAATGAAACTGAACAGAAAAGCCCAACTACCGCCTAAATTAACATGTTTAGCACACAGATGAGTCGGTGAATTATCAACAACAACACGGGGAACTAATGTTTGCTAGTCAACCAGACTTTTTTACACCATGAATTTAAGAGGACTCTTTCAGGACTTCAATCCCAGGTAACTTTAGCACTTTAGCTAACTGTGGAGCTAACGTTAGCTAGCATTGCTTGGCTGAAAACATGGCGAAGATGTGTGTTTTATACGTGTTAAACTGTATAAACATATGTATGCTATATGAACAGATAGCTCTGTTTGTTATAAAGTAAGTGTAAATACAGTAGCTAAAGCGAAAAAACCAAATCGGGCTAAACAAGGCCAAGCTAACATGCTAGCTAAGCTAAAGCTGGGGTTTTCTAGGCAAAGCTATCTTCACTTCGTATTGAATTGCAGCATGATTGCATTATTTTAATTACTCAAATATATTTTTAGCATCCATTCTTAGGTAATAGAGTAGCACATACAGTTCTGGTTTCACATTAAGCTTCACAGGCCCTCAAGAGCAACGGATCCAGACTAACACAATACAAAAACACAGGGAAATACTTCACAATAAATAAAGTATTGGTAAGGGGTTGCTCAGAAACTAGCCACAAGTTGTAATAATACAAAATACACGAAATATTAATCGTACCATTGTTGGATGCCAATGCAGTCCAATTTAATATGTTTAAGAAATAGTTTCAGTGAATTAAGTCAGATTTTCTCAATATTTGGTAGACTTTAGGAAGGTCAGTGGTAGCTTAGTGGGTTTGTGTTGTGAAACATTTTAGCCTACTAGGTTACCTCTTTTCCATCTCATTTTAATTTCCATAATGCAAAATACTTTCCTTTTTATGTTATTTGCATTCAGGCTATCAACAGTCTCCTTTATCTTAGCTTTCAAGTTGGTCTGTTATGTTATTCCATCCTTCTAATTTTAGCAAGTTTTTCCTATTTAAGCTTCTCTACCTTCCTGAATTTATGTTCAACCCACCCAAACTTTCCACACACCCTTTTTAGGTTGTATTGCATCCAGAAAAAAAACGTAATTAATGTTACAAAAGTGTTCTTTCGATGCCTGTAAGCGGTGAAAACTCCAAACCTCTCAAGGGTACAAATAGGCTTTTACTTTGTTCATTAGTGTCCTTATCAGCGTGTTTTCTTCTGCCCTGTGTTGCAGTAAGTTCCTGATCTACTCGTGTCTACTGCTGTTCTCCGTGCTGCTCTCCCTGAGGCTGGATGGAGTCATCCAGTGGAGCTACTGGGCCGTGTTCACCCCCATCTGGCTGTGGAAGCTGCTGGTTATCATCGGGGCCTCTGTGGGCACCGGGGTCTGGGCACACAACCCCCAGTACAGGTAGGCACTCTCTCAGACATCATCATTGGGGGATTAGTTGTAAGCAGTGAGGTATTAATGAGTCAACTGTGGTTCAATCCCATTAAGCTACACATGCTGCTAAAAAACCATCACAAGAAATGATTTAGTTACTCAAGCAGCTCCTGCACAATCGCTATCTAGTTATTTTCCATGTCAACACCAGTAGTTAGGAAGGTAGTTGTTAAAGTTACCTAAATGTTAAGAGAATCAGAAGTTACACATAGGGCAAATTTGCCTTGGTGTATATGGTGCATACATAAACAGTTGACAAATTGTAAGGAAAAACACCCAAAATAAAAACCTATTATGCATACACGGCATGTAGAAAGTTATTTCTACAGGGAGCGGGGCGGTGGTGTCGAAGTTGATAGGGAGTTGGCTTGGCAACTGGAAGGTCACCAGTTCAAGTCCCGGCAAGACCAAGTGCTACCGAGGTGTCACTGAGCAAGGCACCGTTCCCTACACTGCTCCCCGGGCGCCGTTCAAAATGGCAGCACACTGCTCCTAACACTAGGATGGGTCAAATGCAGAGGAACAATTTCCCCACGAGGGATTAATAAAAGTCCATCTTATCTTATCTTATTTACATGAAATATACATATACCAAAAAAAAATGTACAGTATACTATTACAACATACTCAGAGTAATAAAATATGTGCAGAAAAAACAAGACTTTAACACTAAATCCCATTCATAAGGAATTCTTACAATTTCTATAAGAATTTCCTATTTTACTGTATGTTAGATTTTGGAGACAATAGTACGATTTGCAGCTGTTACAGTAGGCTCTGCTTGTATTAATATAATACCTATATATAGCAGGTGTCATGCTAGTGCTAGTAATGCTAATAGTCAGGAATATATACATAATACACAGCTGGATGTATGATATGAATCTGTATTTACAGTACAGACAATATTGTGGATTCAGCCAAAAAAGTTGTCAACTTACTGGTGTTCATTTCTTGTTTTAGCAATCAAACACATCAAATGTCCCCTAACTGTAAATCAACATATCAAAAAGACAGTATCTGTAATCTCACATAATAAGTCTTGTCTTGTGACGTTGATTATATACTTATAATATCTTCTTTATATATTAAGCTTTATTGTATGGGAAGTGTCTGTTTGGTTAGCTTTCTAAATCATGAAAGTATGCAGCATTACATTTCATTTTAGGAATCATTAGTGTCAGTATGAAGTACTTTTAAGGTAAGGTACGTTTATTTATATAGCACATTTTCAGACACAGCGGCAATTCAAAGTGCTTTACATCATCATTAACACTTAATAAGAAGACTTAAAACCATGCATAAAAGAGATACAGAATAGTTTAAAAACAACATTGTCTCATTTAGTTATAATATGTGTAAACTAGTTATTTTCGGCCTTACAGTGGCGATTTTGACGCTTCTCACACCACCAAAAAGCCCCAAATGTCTTCCATATCTTTGTTTAATTTGACTCTTGTTATTTCTCCTCTCTCAGGGCTGAAGGGGAGACATGTGTGGAGTTCAAAGCCATGCTGATCGCGGTGGGTCTGCACGTCCTGCTGCTGATGTTCGAGGTGTTGGTGTGCGACCGCGTGGCCAGAGGAAACTACTTCTGGCTCCTCGTCTTCATGCCGCTCTTCTTCGTTTCGCCCGTCTCCGTGGCAGCCTGCGTTTGGGGCTTCAGACACGACCGCTCCCTCGAGGTGACGAGGACAAAATGAATAAAAGCGAGATTTTATTGTACATGTAACTGGAGCTGCATTTCAAGATTCAAGGATTCAA